TCCGGTGGTAGTGACTGTGTGATAGCGCTTGGCTCCGTGCTGTACAAGTTAAGCAGATCCTCAGCCCCGAGACCTTCTGCAGATTCCACAGAGCAAGATGTGGACGTGCCTGGTGAAGGGCACACACATGTAGGCCTGTCTGAAGCTGTGTTTTCTGTGCGTATCTGAAGCCCTGGAATCAATTATGTAAATAAAAGATTTATCTAATTCCATTTTTAAAGACGCACCTCCTTTCATGCAAGAATAAAGTAAAAAGAGAAAAATAACTTTTTCATATGTAAAATTCTTACATCCCTTTCTTAATTTCTGAGGTACATAATTAATTGGCATTTCTAGACTTTGATTTGTCAGTTTTCAAAGACACCATCTTAAACCTTTGTAGTGAAAAGGTGAGCAGAGTTACTGAGAAGAATTATGAATCCCTTATCAAAGTGTAAGATGCACTTCCTCTCAGAGGTAGATTGCATAGCACAAGCGCAGAGTCTTCCTGAGCTGTTGCACAACTCTCTCTGGGTGGGTGATAGTAGTGGTCATCCGCCAGTAGAGTCCAGCACACAGTTCCAGCCAGGACACAGAATGAGGAAGTTACTTTGATATTTCATAGCATCATTCTGTGATAACATTAATGCTGCTTTTATTTAAGAATCTAAACATCATAATAGTCTACCCATGTGATTGTTATTGGATTGTTTGCTTTTTTAACTTTAGTTTTTAGATTTTAGTAAATGGTTCCTGAATTACCGTGGCTAAACAAGTTATTCATTTTATAGAATGTGAAAGCTGATGCAGTTAACTGGAGAAGTATACAGATGGTGAGAAGGCTACTGATTTCATATATTTAGAGAAACAAGCCTATCAAGTATTCGTATTGACATCTTAGCTTGTAAGTGAGTCTGCTTCCTTCCAGGCCACTGGAATGCCATGATGCCAACAGAAGACCTGTGCCACATGCTCAGTTTTCCTAACACACAACTTAGAAATGTCTCCCACTGCTGAGAGAGAGCAAGAATAGGAGAGAGAAGGAAGGGAATGTAGGAAAGAGGGAAGGAAGGAAGGATAAGAAGCAAATCCTTGTAAGTTTGGGTAATGTTTAAAGCCCACCTGGGGTCATAAGAATTAAGAGAAAATTCAGAAGGCATGATAATGGATCTAACTGTAAAGAAAAAAACTTTCTCATTTAGGAGCATATAAAAGAATTTTACATAAAAGAAAATAATCTCAAGTGATTAAATGTAAGCAATATTATAGCAGAACTTATACTATAATTTCTACTTCCACAATGCTTCTTTCAAGAAGTAGAAAAATGCTGGGCGCCAGTGTCTCCTAGCTATTCAGGAGGCTGAGATCTGAGGATCACAGTTCAAAGCCTGCCTGGGCAAGAAAGTCTGTGAAACTCTTATCTCCAATAAAAACCAGAAAACCGGAAGTGGCGCTGTAGCTCAAGTGGTAGAGCGCTAGCCTTGAGCTGACAAGCTGAGGGACAGCTCTCAGGCCCAGAGTCCAAGCCCCACAACCAACCAAAAACAAAAAAAAAGTAGAAAAATATCACATCAGTTTTTGGTTTCCAGTTTTTATTACTCTGAATTCACAATTTTCCAGTATCAGGCTGCAAGCTGGGTTTGTATTTCTCCTGCTTTTATGGAGAGAGCTGATAGGGCGATAATTGTATAGTCTTTAAACATGGAAAAACACTAGCTATGAGTAGGTGGAGATTTAAAAGGAATTGGACACAAGTAGCATTTTTTTAACTTCTGCAGACAATAATTATGATTCCCAGTATTAATACCTAGAAAGAGATCCTAACAGGCTTGAGCTAAAGCTGCATACATAGTCTCCTAGGTTTAAGTTAAAACTACCTTCATGCTTAATGTGACTCTTGGAAGGAAACAAAACCCTAACTATAAACAATCTGTTTCTACCTTGGCTGATTATCTCTCTCCTAAATAGACAGCACATAGCCCCCCAATGCCTGTGTGCAGACAGCTCTTGTTTAGAGCCCCCACTCTTCAGTCATGACTACCAGTGCCGGGTACACCCCTCAGTCATGACTACCAGTGCCGGGTACACCCCTCAGTCATGACTACCAGTGCCAGGTACACCTCTCAGTCATGACTACCAGTGCCAGGTACACCCCCTCAGTCATGACTACCAGTGCCAGGTACACCCCCTCAGTCATGACTACCAGTGCCGGGTACACCCCTCAGTCGTGACTACCAGTGCTAGGTACATCAGCAGCATTTATATACCATTTTGTGTGGTCTCTCTTCAGCAAAAGAGAAAAATTGCATGTACTAGTAACAGCATGACAAACAAAAATTTAGAGAGATGACTGTCTTTATTAGCATGGGACTGAGATGGTTGGTCTTCTGTTTCTGTAACTGAGTGCCACACTGAGTGGCTTCCATAGGTGCAGGGTTGCAGGATGGCTCATGCTTGGGCGGCTGGAGGCCCAGGCGGATGGCCACACCTGTGAAGGCCTCTTGTGGGGACTGCAGACTCCTGAGTTGAGTAGGGCAGCCGTGTGGCGAAGGCACCAGCTGTGGTGCAGGCCACTCCCTCGTCAGCTTTGCAACCACATGGTAGTCCATGAATGGATCTCTCCAGGCATGTGGGCCTCCCCATTGACCTAAGCACCTTTAGCCACCCTGCCGTAGCAAGCTCCTAAAACTGCAGTCAGATTACATGTCCACATGTTCAAGCCGTAGCATTTTGGCTGGGTAGTGCAGAGAGCAAAGGCTGGAGAGGACTTAGTTAACTTGGAAGTGATTGGGAGAATAAAGGGGGTAGAGGTTGTGTACAACTAGAAGATGGAAGTAATTTGGCAAATGATGTGCTTTATAATAGATGGCTTCAGTGAATTCCAAAGAAGATGGCGAATCATAGGAATAGTGCTAGTAGTGGATGTGTGGCATCTCCCTTCACATTCAGTATTTTCATCTTTGAAACAGGATTGCCATCTTTTAGACAACACAAAGATTCCCAGAGTAATTTGAGCTATGTATGAATGGCTGCAAGTTCTGTCCCTATCGAGGTATTAATCATATTATCATAACACAGAAAAAATTGCTTCTTCCAGATTCCCTTAATAATTAAGGAGAAGTTCATCCTAACAATGCACTTGAAGTAGGTTTTTCTTCACATGAATGCATCCAGCTTCTTGTGGAGGACCTATTGATTATTGATAAAATGTTCACATGTATGCATTGAAGATTGTCTATTATTTTCAACATAATTCAAAGGATTTTTGAGCATGCACATGTATTTACATTTATACTTCTGATCTTGACTGACAGTATGAAGCTGAATTGTATAAAATACTTAACCATAGCATCAGAGCCATTTGCAGTTTAAAAAAAAACACATATAAAACAATATTCCAATGAATTGTCCATGTATAGCAACAAATCAGTAAGAAAGGACAAACCCTCGTAGTGAAATAGATAAATCAGATTTAGGCAGGCTAGTTTATTGAATTTAAATTGTGCCCAGTTGGCCCAAGAGTTATATATAAGCAATCCATCTTACGTTGTTAATGGAGGTTCTTGAAGTCCACCTGATGTTTGCATTATTAAATTTCAGTCTAATGAGCTCTGCTAATACATATTGAAGATGGTTGTAAGGAGTAGAATGGGAATCTGAGCGGGATCATTTGAAAGAAACATACGCCAGGCATTTTACATGACTCCAGGGGTATATCTACAATTACACATATAACCAAAATTGAATTTAAATGGAATTTCTATTATCCTTGTCCTTGTACCAGGGAGAATAAAGTGTAAATGAAGTAAATGTCTTTAGAGTTACTAGTGGTTTGTTTTTATTATCTAATTTAATAGATTTTTTGCAATGATACCAAGTGGCATAAAAGTTTTAATATTTCATGACTTTAAATGCAGGCTAAGTAAGCTTATAAATGGAAACAGATGTCTGTGTAATTGGAGATAGCACTTCATAGCACCATTATGTAAGTTTTATACTTGAAGAAAATTATCAATATTGATGGTGAGGAAAACCAAACTTGGAAGAAAAATAGTTTTGTACAAGACAGGAATTGTTTCTTAAATTCCTTTTCGCAGACCAGGTTTTACACTTCAGAAGGATGTTTGTCCTTGCATAGGAAAACATATGCAGCCAGAAACTGAAATGTGTGCTTATCGTTTAAAATCACTGCTTGTGTTGCTGCTCTCAGTATGATAAAGGCCCATCTAGAGTTTAATGCTGGCTGGGTCTGATTCTTTTCTTTGACAAGGCAATACTTTTTTAACTTAATATTTCATCAACTCTAATGCCATTAGAGGCTTATTTTCACTTAGTTCGCTCATCAGGCCGTGAGACAGCGATAAAGGAGAATCGCTCCTTTGAGACGTTAATGCTTCGGAATAAATGATGTGCTAGAACAGAAATTTAATTAATTTACAGAGTATATTGATAGTCCCTTGTTACTGTGCTGTATATTTTTAATCTTCTTTAACATCTGTGTGAAGTGTTTGAAAACCCCTGCAGTTGAGCAACTAGTAGATAATTAAGTAATAAGGGAAGCGGTTTCTAGAGGGAAAAAGTCTTTTTACTGAATGCTGTCATAACATGAATGACGCACTGCTACGCTCGACTATGGGGGAGGAATGTACCCTCATTTGACACTTTCCTACAGCAACTGTGGGTTTCTGAGACTTGATGTGTAAATCCACCAATGTTGAAGGCAAATGCATTACCTGATTTTAATGGATGACTGACACTCTTGCCTATTCATATCTGCCTTTACCCTCATGTTGCTTAACTTCATTTTCTTCTTTGCACAGAGGTTATTCTGAACTAGGCTTTGGAGATTGTAAATAAATGCATTGTGTAGTAGTTCTAAATATGCTTCACATTTTCAGCTGCCACATCTCTTTCTTTTGACTACTTCACAGAAGTAATTCATGTCTGTTTCCTTTCCCCCTTATTCTCACTTACAGTCTGGTCATAAAATAAAAGCAAGTATTTCATTGTTTTTCTTACAGCCAAAGCTGATGAAGCACTGAAAGCCAAAGAGAGAAATGAGGAAGAAGCAAAGAGAAGGAAGGAGGAAGGTAAGTGCATGCGCTCTGTCTTTTCCTGAGGGTCCTGCCCGCCCTGGTTTCTGCATTCCCTGGCTGAGTACCTTCGAGGTATCACGTCCTCTCGTGGGTCTAACTTGTGACGTGACACCACACCACAGAGGACACAAATGTTGGTTAACGTAGGGTTGGTTGCTCAGTGGCCCGTGGCAGAATTGGGAGGGATGGTGTGAGGTTAAGATGGCACAACAAATGTTGGTTAGTTTCCTTCCAACTTCTGTATTTATGCATAACAAATGATGAGAATTAGTCATAGAAATGGATTGAGTTTGTCTATATATTTTGAACTACTCTAGCAATGGTAAAGCTGTCAAGAAAAAAAGAACAGAATCAGAAATGCCAGAAATAGCCACTATTGAAGTTAAGAGATCTGTATCTTAATTTTTATGGCCTATTCTTTCCTTTTGATTACATTTAGGCCATCCCCCTCCCCACAAGCAGATCTCATTTATCTTCCCTAACAATGTTTTATTTCCTCTTTACTTGTAAGGTTACAAAGTTCCAATCTCTTCCCTGGTCAGCGACCCCCTCACATTTGCCTCATGGCCCAAAGCAGAATAATTGCTTGCTCGTGTGAGGTTTTGAGATGCTAAAGGCTGACACTGTGTGCCAGATTTTGACTCTAGGTATTAGTTTTCACATCTGAAAATTGACATTTTTACATTAATATATGCTTCTCCTTTATTATAACAACCAGAAAAAAAAATGTTCCCAGTCTCCAGTTAGAAGCTGCGATCCAGCTGGGCCTTAAGTGTTTAGGTATGATGGCGTAGAATCCAAATGAAGCATCCCATCAAACTCGGGCCTCAAGCCAGTCCAAAACAAAAAGACAGAACCCTGCGTAGAGCATGGATTTGTAGAACGGGGTGGATTTATACATGTGAGTGTAGTAAGTAGTCTTACCTTATGTGACATTCTGAAGTCCTGATGGTATGTTCTAATCTGGAATCAGCTGATTTTATGATTTCATGAGAAGACAGTGGCACTCTGTGGGAGGAATCTTATACAGAACCCTCTTGTGACTTGATGAAGCCCTCATCCTGGCACATGTAGTTAATGTGGTCTCTCCGACTTCATTAGTGCTTACGGTATGCCCGTAGGTAGATACAGTGCTACGTGCAAAGCAGTCTAAGGGAATTTAAGTACTGCTGTGTTGTGTGATCAATGTAACTAATTAATAACATAATGGCCTTTATAAAGCACTTTACAAAACACTGTGGTGCTGTAAATCACAAGAGTACTTCTACTACCAGCCGACAGTGGAAATAGTTCCATAGTTAGTAGACTGGTCCATTTATTCAGATCTTAATCAGAGTCATAATCAGTTAACAAAAACTGCACTGAGAGTAACCACAGATGTTGAACTTGCTAGGTGATGTATTGTTTTTAAGTAGTATAACATGAATGCTTGTCTTCCTGAAAGAAACTTTTCTAAATACTTCAGACCTACTGAACTTTCATTGTAATTCTTTAATGTAGATTCTTTTTTTAATGTACCAATCTTGGGACTTAAACTCAGAACCTGGGCACTGACCCTTTGCTTTTTTTTTTTTTAACTAAAGACTAGCACTCTACTAGCACTTGAGCCACAGCTCCACTTCTACTTTTCTGGTGATTAATTGGAGGTAAGAGTCATCGAGTCAGACTATCCCACCTCAGGTCACAGTTTCCTGAGTAGCTAGGAGTACAGGCATGAGCCACTGTATCAAGCTAATTTAGATTCTTTTAATTAGATTTTTAGACTGTTCTTGATTCTACTATGTGATATACAGTACATTTTCCATTTCAATACCTGAGAATTGTTGAAGAAACACATCTCTTCCTAGTTTAATTGCCTTTTTCAAGGCCATTATCATAATCAGAGTCTAACCTTCAGGATTACAGGATCTGTATTCAGGAAGCCTAAAACATAATACAAACACTCATATCTTGAATTATTGCATGAGTGATTAAATATGTGAATTAGTTTCTCATTCTTTTAAATCCATGTTTCTTAGATTTGCAATGGGTCCTTAATAATCGTACTTATAGAGTAAGCCAACTTCATTACATCTCTTTTCTAAGACAGGGCCTTACCTGTGAAGCCCTTGCTATAATGAACTAAACACTTAGAAAATGAAGCCAAGGTGCGTCAAAACATTTGATAACATAGTTGATATTATGACACATCCAAGTATTTGGTAATATGGCTCTGTATTTACGTGAGCTCACTGAGTTTTCAGTGCATCAGAAAGGTATAAAGGAAAACTACACCACAAATCTTGAAGAATTCAACTCAACTGAACACCCCATACAACAGTAATGTTTAAATGAGAACATCCCTGAGTTTACCTTCACTTATTTTTTGTAGGTGAATCCCTGTTCAATTCTTTTCTTTTGTTTACACTCAAAATTTTTTCTTGTAGATTGTCTAGGTACTTGAATGCTATCAAATTAACCCTCCTCTGAGTGATTAATGATAAAATGATTACTGTGTAAGCTGTGTTTCACATAATGTATTAGGCTGCTTATTCAAACTTGGGCTACAGTAATAATGTGTGTAGACATTTGTTCACATTTCAACAGTATGTTGTTTGTGTGACAGAACAACAGTTCCTTATTTCAGTCCTATATAAGCATGGTGGCCACTGTCCTGCCATTTACACACCGCATCTCTTAATTTCTCAGCATGCTGAGTTTCAGCTCAGGGTTGGAAGTATTGTTAAAATTAGACAAATGTTGTCTGTGCCATTGTGTTTATCCATTCTCTGTTATCTCAGAAAATGCCTGTGTTAGCATAGCAAGACCTGTGCCTTGCAGATTTGTTCTGTTATACAGTCCTTCCCTTTGAGTGTTCTTTGATCCATATCATAATTATATTTGCAACTATTGTGTTTAAGATAAAAATCAGGCTATATGCCAAAACTAGTCCTGGCACATTTTCCTCTCTAACCTGTACACATTTCCAGTGCCTTCCATGGTGCCTCTGTATACAGGGTTCATTTACCACTCCCTAGAGATCACTAATGCCTTGGAGATAGCCCACTTTCTTCAGCCATTCACTGCCTCTTTTCACATTAGTTGAATGAGAATATGTCTTCTAGTATAAGAAAATTGAATGTTTAAAATTTAGGTTTACTGTTTCCCTCGATTGAAAATAATTACTTTTTAAAATTTAGCTTTAGATTATATTATATTATTACCTATTATATTATTTATTTTCTTTTTTATTCTTTGACCTAATATTTAACTATGGAGCTTTCCCTTTCTCTGTGTATGTATGAAAATGCTGTAATTATACTTGTTTGTTTGCTTTATGTTTTGAGACAGGGTATTGCTACACAGCTCAAGCTAGACCAGAACTTCCAGTGCCTAGGTTGACCTCAAGCTCAAGGTCCTCCTACTTCAGCTTCCAGAATTCTAGCATTACAGGCATGCATCACCAAACCCAACTCTGTAGCTATACTTTTAAAATATATAATTGGCACATGTAATCCTGCTCCCCAGGAGGCTGAGATCTGAGGATCCAGCCAGGCAGGAAAGTCCATTGAATTCTTATCTCCAATTAATGACCTAAAAACTGGAAGTGGAACTGTGACTAGAGTGGCAGAGTGCTAGCCTTGAGCAAAATGTCTCAGGGATATTACCCCAGCCCTGAGCTTGAATATACTCACATCCAAATTTTATATATATATAAAATTAAAGTCATTTGAACTTCTATCATTTCTTTTATCTCTTTCCCTATTATTGAATGATATAGCCTAACTGCTTGTATCCTCTGAATGTTATTTTTATACTTAGTTTAGTATGCATTTAAGGGTGCTAATTATGTTTCAAATGAGTTTATAAACATAGTAGCCTTTCTCTGTATTTGACTTCTCTCTAATATGAATTTCTTATTTGTGGTTTAAGTATAGTAGCCTTTGAATACTTTTCCCCTTGTGTTTATTCAAAATAGCCCTATCCATCTGTTAGTTTTTTTTAACTTCAAATATTTTTGTTTCCAAGACTTAGCCAACCCACTCTAAATTATTCATGGGATTGGTGGACAGTGAAAATATGAACATAACATGAAGCAGTTCAAGTGAAGACTTAGAGGACTCCTCTGGTCTCCCCCAAATATTTTGCCACAGCACATTGACTAGAAGCCTTCTTCCCTCCCTCCCTCCCTTCCTCCCCCCTCTCTTCCTCCCTTCCTCCCTTCTTTCCTTCCTCTTTCCTACCTTCCTTTCTTCTTTCCTGCATTCTCCCTCTCACCTCCTTCCATTTGTAGTAGTTCTTTGGGTATAGGTCAGGTAAAGACTACTAGCAATGAGAGATGAAGGAATACCACATCTTTGTTAGCTCTATGAGCTTGGGGGGTTGTTATCATCTCCACATCCAAGTGGGGATGAGAAGCTGGGGCCTGGTACTCAATCCAGGCAAACTGTAGAGCTACAAGTAAGCCAGACAACAAACCCAGGCAATCTGATTCTAAAGCACACCTCCTCTTCAAACATCCTGCAGAAGCCTCAAGCCTTAGGATCAGTGTTAAAAATTCTGATTGAGCATCCCTCCCCTGTCCCCTGCCTTCTCTGATTGTGCCCTGTAAGTCCTCAGCCTTTGTACTAAGGAAAGCACCCTTGTCCCTGCGGTCAGAGCCATGCCGGTGTCAGACCAACTCACTGTCACCTGAGTTCTGGCTCCCAGATGGTGAGGGGCACATTTTGCCAGGGTGTCTTTGTTCTTTTTCATGACCTCTATCTGACTGACTGGCCTTTGTAAAATGTTCAGTATTCCTCCACATCCAGTCTCCAGAGTACAGACGAGCTGGACAAATGTCCGGTGTGAGGTCCTATTTCCTGAGGTTCCCCTTGTGTGGTGATCCCTAGCTGAAACTGTAGCACTGGTCTCCACTCTCTGTGAGGGGACTCTCACAGCCCTCCTTTCTCTCCACCAGGCTCACCATCCAGGGTGGTGGCACACGTCCCATATCCTAGGTACCTGCAGGACGA